ACCATTGGATACTTACCAACTGCCCCTCAAAAATGCTGGAGGTTGAATCCACTTTGTACATGAAGCTAGCCAAAGCTTCCGCAATAATTCGCGTCGTGTTGAGAGTGTGTTCCACAAGACGACTCTCGTTGTTTCTGAAAATGGTTGTACGGATGGGGCTTCGTGGACTCTTCACAGACGATAGGGTGAATGAAGGATAGCGCTTTATGCTGAACCGCTCGTGCTCCCATGCCAGTTTGGTGTCTGCCAGGTTGATCTTCTTATGGACACCCTCGACGGCCAGACCATTCGAATACTTTTCAGCTGATGATTTCAAGAGTTTAAAGAAGTTGCTAATAGAGGTCTTATCCTTGGGTGGCTTAGAGACATGCATGTACAAAGCATTGTCTGTTGTGTAGGATAAGCTTTCGCTAATGGTGTCTAAACAGAGCACAAATTCAACGTTCTAAAAGTGATAGCATTTCAGATAAAAACGAATATTTATATCCTTTATTAGTTATTGTTACCTGCAGCGCATTATCATCAACCTCGAGCCACTTCTTGGAGCCCTGGAAGTTTAGTAGGACGCCTGCGTCCGAAAGCAAAAATCGTAGACGGTACTTGGGTGCCATACTGGATGTATAGTGCAATTTACTGAACAACTCCATCAGTACCAGCAAAACTGCAGCATCGGCATTCACCGGGTAATCCTAGAAATTAAGACATAATAATGATGTGCATTTACTTCAGATCAGCTCTTTTGACCTCAAATGATTGCCTAAAATCACAAAACCACTTGAACCACTTTGATAAAGGCCACAATCTTTTAGATAGGAAGCTCTTATCTTGAAAGCAGAAATAAAACTTTTAAGTTATGGTGATACCCAACGTGTTATTGTAGTTTACTTTTTAGCTTTGATAACTAAGAAAAAATTTTTTTTTTCAAATTCCTCTTGTATTATTTTCCGATAAAAACGTAAAAATAATTCATCTCCACGGAAATTTAGCTACTGAGTCACAAAATTACTTACATTATATATACCAAAGGTTTTCAGATTCGCGGTTATTAAGATGACGGGAAGTTTCTGTCCATCTGCAATAGATTCCGTGGGTTTCAGGGCCAATTGATTGGGTATCAGTTCGCCATGAATAATAGGAATTTTGCTATTCTTATTGGCCGCAATGCTGCCCCCGCCAACATTTATGTGGTATCTGTTGGCCGAGACGGTTACAACCAATTGGGCTAATGCCGTTTGATTTTGTCCCGGACTATCCGTAGTCGTATACGTAATATCATCAATGATCTTTTCCAAATCTTTGTTGTACGGAGCGAAGTATATCGGAACCGCAGCTGTGTGGGTCAGCATTGATTGCTCCAAAATAGTTATAAGTTCTTTGGTTTCTAGATCCAGATTTAAGATATTCGACGGCAACATGAGAATTAGGCCTCCTGCACCTTGCCGTAACTTATCAAAATCATGGATAGACAAGTCCGTTAATCTGTTTGATATAATTTACAATGTTTAAAACATTTCAAAGAGCAGAAGTGAAAAGTGTACTTACCGTGTGAGTACACAATGCCTAGAAGTATTCCAGGAGTACAAAGATCTCGCTTCTAGGGATATTGCAGATACGCGGCTTCCTACAAAAAATAAAGATTATTAAATCAAAAGATTGCCGAAAAGTTAAAATTTATATAAGGATAGTTAAATGCAGTATGTAATAATTCGGAGATTAATTATTTGAAACCAAAAAGTGATTAAAAATGTATTAAAAGAGCTGGGACCTTACAATATAATGTTCCTTATGATAAGTATAATCTCTACATATTATTCATAATCAATAAACTCAAATACAAATCACGTAAGCTTATTTTAATGGTATTCAATAGTACTAATTAAATCAAGAAGAGGCCGCAGCGGTGCACATAAAAATTAGGGTCAGAGCACCCTCGAATTTGTTATGTTTAGATTCGAAACAATGGTGTTCAAATATCCAAGACGTGATCTACAATAAACTTACATAATTAATATATGTCTTTTGCATTATTTACATACCATAATGCTGTCCATTTAGATCGTATTTGGACATCGAAATAACCTCGAATTCGCTCGGCATTACCGGTGAGCATATTAACAACATGGAAAACACAATCAGAAGGCAGTGAGGTAGGCCGCCCCTGAATATTTCCGCAAAACTGTCCGCTTCATTCATCTTTTTTATTTTTAATAAAATACTTTCTAATAAATTTGCCGATGTGGGCAATTAACTTATTGTAAAAATTAATTTGGAAAACTATCAGCTGTTTTATCGATGTTTATGGTGGTTGAAATGTGCGGTTAATCGGACATTTTTGTCCTTTTCGGAATGCCAGAAAAAAACACAATTCAAAAATTTGGAACACAAGAATTTTATATAAATTTAATTATTTTTATTAGGTAATTAAAACATTATTTTGTAAACAAAAATTTAAACGCTAGGCTTTTATTTAAATTATTCTGTTGGAATACTTTTTTTCATAGCTTTGTTTATCGTTGTCCAATGTAGGCAAAATTGTTCCAATTCCGGAATTTCAAACTGGACGATAGTTATTGCACCTAATGTAGTTAGCAAGCAGAAAATTATCGGAATTTTGCGCATCTCTGGTTCGGCTAGTATGACTTTGAATTTTACAGAAAGAACAACTTATATTAACGAAAAATTTAGCCATGCCCGCATTTAAAGGTAGCATTGCGATTTTCAACTCCTGTTTGCGTACAGATTCATCAGCCTACTTTCAGTTAAGGTGAAGTGGGGCCGGGAGCTCTACACAGATATTGATGTAAACACCGACGAGGAACCTATATTGTTTAAGGCTCAGTTGTTTGCCCTCACTGGCGTTCAACCGGATCGCCAGAAAGTTATGTGCAAGGGCGGCATTCTCAAGGATGATCAGTGGAACCTGCAGATCAAGGACGTAAGTGGGCATCTATGTCTCCTTGGCGACTAACCAGCATCCGTCTTTCTTTTGCAGGGCGCTGTGGTCTTGTTGCTGGGCAGCAAGGAAAGTGTTCCAGAAGTGCCCGCCACTCCGGTCAAATTCATTGAGGACATGAATGAAGCTGAAGCAGCCACAGCGGTATGTATTTCGTTGTACTTTGGCAATTATAATAATGATCCCACCTTTAACTAACCGGATGGGGAAGTTTTAGTAAATATGTAAAAGTTCGAACTGCAAAACACCTGAATATGTGATACCTGAATAATTGATTATATTAATGTGCCGAACTCATTATTATTTGAACTCATAGTCTTAGTCATTAAAACATTAGCCGATTACTAACTGCCTAGTTTAGTTCTAAGGTTTGGGCTATGCTCAGTAAACTATAACTCTAAAAAGCTAAATATTAGTAATGTTCTCATCTAAACTATACATCTTTACAGATGCGTCTTCCGGCTGGGCTGACAAATCTGGGCAATACATGCTATATGAACGCCACTGTTCAGTGCCTAAATGCAGTGCCCGAGCTCCGCACTGCCCTGAGCACTTTCAGTCATGATGGAACCGACACTATGTCGACCGCATTTTCCATATCGTCTGCCATGAAGTCTATATTTGCTCAAATGGAGAAGGGCACAACCGTTACGCCAATTGTGTTGCTGCAGGCATTGCACCGAGCATCACCGCAATTCGCTCAGACTGGCGAAAATGGCACATACAGGCAGCAGGACGCCAATGAGTGCTGGGCGGAAATCCTGAAAATGTTGCAGCAAAAACTGCGGCCAACAAACCAGGAACCATCGAATACTGTCCAGAAAAGGCACAGGTGAGCACACAACCTTTATGCTTCTTTTGGACAATATTTATTAGGTATTCCACTTTTAGCTCGTTTATCGACCAATTTTTTGGTGGCACTTTTGAAGTTAAGATGAGCTCTGAAGAGGATCCCGATGAACCTTCAACAGTAACAAGCGAAAATTTCTTGCAGTTAAGTTGCTTCATTTCAATGGATGTGAAGTACATGCAGAGCGGACTGAAATCTGTAAGTGAAATCCTAGGGACTTTTAAGCGGCGCTAATTTTCTTATACATTTTCAGAAAATGAAAGAGCAGCTGGTAAAAAAATCGGAAATCCTAGGACGTGATGCAAAGTACATTCGAACTGTAAGGATTCGAGCTAATTTTTCCGATACGAAACTAACCTTATCATGTTTCAGTACTTGGTGAGCCGACTTCCAGCCTATCTCACCGTACAATTCGTTCGCTTTCAATACAAAGGAAAGGAAGGCATAAATGCCAAGGTGTTGAAGGATATAAAATTCCCTATGGATTTTGATGCCTTTGAGCTGTGTACTCCCGAATTGCAAAACAAGCTCTGTCCAATGCGCTCGAAATTCAAGGATCTGGAAGACAAGAAAATGGATGTTGACGTTGTCAAACGCAATGAACCCAACGAGGAGAAAAAGGACGTCAAGTACGAGCAGTTCTGGTTCGACGACGATTTGGGCAGCAACAATTCGGGATACTATACGCTACAGGCGGTGCTCACGCACAAGGGTCGTTCGAGTTCATCGGGCCATTATGTGGCCTGGGTTCGCTCCAGCGGCGATGTGTGGTTCAAGTTCGATGATGATGAGGTCTCCGCAGTGGCCACGGACGAGATCTTGCGGCTTTCCGGTGGTGGAGACTGGCATTGCGCCTACGTCCTGTTATATGCACCCAGGCGTTTGGAGAAACTATAAGTAATTGTGTTAACGTCATTTGTATTGTTAATATAATAATTCTGAATAAATAACCAAAACCTTAAGGGTGAACTCTCATGTAAATGTATTAAATTCATAATTGTTCATTAGGATCTTGCAGGTACTTTTACCGAAATGGCTCACGGCATCAAAATCATGAATTTATAAACTCTGTAGAGTAGAAAACGCAGTCTTTTACCAGTTACGTACGTTTAAATGAATATAATATTTCCCTTTACTCGACGAATAACGGCTATTCGATTTTTAAAGTAAGCACTAGTGGTTCGTTTCCAGACTGTTCCCCGGTGTTACCTTGACATGCGCAACTAGGTATTTTACAGCAAAAAGGTCACACCTAAATTGTCAAATTGCAAGTTATTTTAGTGTTTATAAATATGGATAGTAATGAGTCAGGAACAACAGATAGGAGCTCTACACAGCAGTCGCTTGCTTTGCGGCGGGAATTGCGCAGAAAGAAAATATTGGAGGCCTCCAAGGCACGACTGGACAAATTGAATGGCATAGCGTCGTCGGCGTTTCAGAATGAAAACCTCGGTAACACATGATCTGTATACATACGTACATATGTATGTGTGTACACTGTACATAATAATATTGTACATAAATCATTGCTTGTATTATGCATAAGCAAAGCTACACATATATTAATGTTTATGCTTTCTTAATTCCAGATGGGGAACCCACCAATACGCAATATTCCGATCCAGAGGTGGAGCCCGATATTGCAATAAGGCGTTCATTTTTGCCAGAACAACCTGCACCGCCGAAAATCACGACACGAAATGCATGGCTAAAAAGCAGAATTCATATAATATTGGCGGCTTGCTTTGGATTCCTATTGGGTCTTTATACAAACAGCAGTGTTTTCATTCCTGTTCTGATTTTTGTAATTGCGGAGCTCGCATTTTTGCAATATTATAAAGAAGACCATTTACCGGCCAGCGTGGGACCCATGTTACTTATGTTATTTAATCCGAATATTACCAGCAAAATTAAGCAGTTTAGCAGAATATTCTTTATTCTTCAGTCATTGTTGTGTGATCTTGCTATAACCGTCTGTGTGGTTTGTTCAGGAAGCATGCTATTACTAAATTTTAGCTCCGATTTTGCTACAATTGTTAAATAAAGATTATTTTTTATTACATATATTTATTTTATACATAAATTCATATATCTCAAAATAAGAACATCAGGCGGTTGCCAAAACAACCACCAATGCGTCTTCAGCACTGGCAGCGACTTTGGGTGTTGTACAGCACTGTTTATTCGAAATATTTATGTATAAAAACTTTAAAACCGTTATCAACCCCTAGTTTTTAGTCTAAAAATTCGAATTTTAATTGACTGATAATTAAAAAAGGGATTCATTCTGTTAAAAAGTTGTAAGGTCCCTTAAAACGGTCCCTTAAGGTCCCTTTCAATAATAAGTACAAATACATCTGAAAAAATTGCAATTCCATAGTTTTCTTGCTCGTCTTTCGAGAATTTCTAAAAATAGACTCAGGCCTCGTCAGCCAGGACATAGTAATAATAATAGTAATTGGAAAACACCTGCACTGAGCATGCCCAGAAATGGGTAAAAAGGAAAAGTGCCCACCCTCGCCTGTGGGCCTGCGCATACATTGTATCGATTTTAAGACTGTGTACTTATTTCATAAGCTTGTGGAGAAAAGATGTTTTCATAAACAAGTGCACGGTGGAAGTTAGTGCTTAAAAAATATATGATTGGTGCAATCGGATACCGTAGATAAGTGTGATTATGCAGCCGTTAAAAATGGCATAACATCGAGCTGCTGCAAAAGGATATTCGGATTCTCAAATAGTCTTGGCAGATTTTTTCCCTCGAGTAATACGAAACTAATAAGGTAAAAACTACCTCTAGTATCCATGAAAATGATTTGAGAAATTACATTTTAAGTAGTGTTTTCCCGGCGTGATTTCGTTTTCAATATAACTGATTTGAATATTACTGCTTTAAGTGAGAATGAAGCACGAGTACTTTGATTGAAAATCAATATTTTAAAATAACCTTACCAACGAAGGGCGACGAGGGTCGTGGTCTCAGTCTTATTGATTGGCAACTCATTTGCTATTGCAGCCATCATGGGAACGGTGTTGAGCTTCAATCCGCGGGATCGCCATCCCATCTACTCGTCCCAGCCAAATTTTCAATATAACCACTCGACCGATATGCGGAACGAGAACGACAGCACAGGCTCCATGGACTCACATCTGAACAACTTCTCCTACGAGCAGCTAAACAATGCCAAGAATCGGGAGAACAAGAAGTCCGCCTGCCATCCGATGGCCAAGAATGTGATTGGTCAGCCGGGTGGGCCGTGTGGCGGCGGGGTCCACATCAATCTGCAGACACAAACCCAGCTGAGCTCGCACAATTTGAACAATCTGGCGAACGCCTCAAAGGACACCATCACCAATGTCCTGGACACGCATAACGAGAACTCAGTGCTCAAGGCGGAGAAGAGCTCCTTCGAGAAGAACCTAAAGAAGCACTCAATCTTTATCAACGCGCTCTCATGGAAGAAGCTCTCCACGTCGCACAACAAGAAGAAGATCGAGAACAAGAACAAGTGCGCCAACCTGCCCACGGCCTGCTTCAAGGCCCAGCTGCTGGAGTCCTCGTTTGCATCCTCCTCGGACAAGAATCGTAACATCCAGCTGCACTGCAACCGCATCGAGGAGCACAACCAGCAGCACTGCAACCAGCATCTCCATTCGCATCCGCATCAGCACCAACTTCAGCTACAGAATCAGCACCAGAATCAGAATCAGAACCAGGTGCAAGACATCCGGGAGGAGGTCATGACCGGGCCAACGGGCAAATCGCAGAACCCTTCCAAGGCGAAAGACCCCGTCAAGGTCAACAACAAGAACTCCATGTCGAACCACAACAAGCTGATCCAGAAGCAGCCCCTGACGCTCAGCCTGCCCCAGCAAGTCCAGGCCTCATCCATTCAGATCAAGAACACCAACCAGATCCCACGCAAAACCGTCATTCAGGTAAGTAATGAACCAACAGATAACGCGATTCGCTTCTAAGATCCTAACATATCAGTACATCTTAGTAGGGGTGCCCTTGGGAACCAAGTTCAGTAGCATACTTTTTAAAGCAACATTTTGAATGGGTTTTTGTCGACGGAATAAGTGAGCTAATCCCAAAACGTTGTTCTATAATTTGTTATTTATCGAAATACGAGATAATACATTTTTATCCTGGAAAATTTTTACAAAGTTTTACACATATGTGTTTCAAAGCACTTGTACTTTTTAAATATTATACTATGCATTCTAAAACACCAGTTCCCTCTCCATATGAGGTACTTCCCTAACATCATAGATCATATATGATTTACCTGCGCTTAGATTTTCTTATATATGCATCCGATATTTTCAATATCTCATCTTGCCAAAGTTAGCCGACTAAATGGGTTGACTTCTTTAATGGGTTTAATACTTATCAAACACCTCACAGGCCTCCACTTCGGAATTGCTAAAGTGCTTGGGAATGTTTTTGCACTGTCGTTGTCAGAGGCTAAACAACTTCGATGCCGGAGATGCAGTCATGTGGCTCAGAGCTGTGGATCGCAGCCTTTTGCTCCAAGGATGGCAGGTAATGTAGCTCCTCTCCTGAACATTTCAATCAACCAGTAAATACATGTTTTATTCCCAGGATGTGGCATTCATAAACCCAGCCAATGTGGTCTTTGTCTACATGCTGGTTCGCGAGTTGGTCAGCGGTGAAGAAAGTAAGGAATCGGATCTTCAGGCTTCGGTACTCACCTGTTTGTATCTGTCGTATTCGTATATGGGCAATGAAATCAGCTATCCTCTTAAGCCGTTTTTGGTTGAAGACTCAAAGGAAAAGTTTTGGGACAGGTAAGATAAATATGAAGTACTTTTTAATATCCATCTATGTGGAATATTTTTCATTTGCATTATAATCTTTAATATAACGTATAGGTGCCTCGTCATTGTAAACAAGCTAAGTGATAAAATGCTTAAAATCAATGCTGAGCCTGGATTTTTTACCGAAGTCTTTACTGAGCTGAAATCTTGTGGTCAATATCATCCTACAATTAAATCATACTGTGGAGGCGCCTGACGGATGGACAACCGGGAGATTATTGTCAACCTCTCATTGTCTGCGCATCGCCAAAAATTTCCCGATGAAATGATGGCGAAGTACCGTTAATAAAACTTAATATTTTATAAAACATTAGACAATTTCATTATGTCACTATCACAATCGTTCAAATCAAATAATAAAGATTAGTGTTTAAATAAATTAACATCTACGATATGTGTAAACGGTGCGTTTCCATTGACGGGCTTAAAATCCCACACAGATCCTAAACAGAAGCGAAATATCCATTATATATGCAAATAAATGGTAATTTATTATACATCTTATATACATAAATCGTTTCGTATACTAGAAACTATTGAGAGCAATTCAATTTGGATACAGTATATCGTAGTGGCCTGGTCTATATATCAGGTAAATTCTGGGCTCACTTCCCTCAGGGAAGTCGTGGGCCTTCACAGTGCCGCCCTCTCCACGATCCAAGTACTCAACACGAACTCCAGCACCAAGGGCGGTGCAGAGCGCGATTATATGAATGTGATCCGACTCTTTGTACATCGGTTCCACTTCCAGATGACGGAAAGCCTCAATGGTGAGGTCGCCCTCAATGAAATTTTGGTAAAAGTCGGCCTCCTCCTGCAGTTTTCCCGAGGTGATTAAACGTAGGTAAACCACCACGTAGTCTGAGTATCCCTGCTCATTAAAGATTTTGTGCAATTCTTCTTGCACCGTGCTGTGTCCTCCTAGATTATCGGGACTAACCCGCTGGATGACTTCCATGAACTAGGCATACAGAAAGCGGTATAAGCATAGGGAATTCGCATTTGTGCGGGTTAACATACAGTTTCGTGAAAATCCTCCAGTGTAAAACTGGGAAATCCCAGCTGAACGAGCTTCTCCTTGGATTCCTCGGCCAGTTTTTTGAACTCCTGGTAGGCACTGCTGTTTGAGATCAAGTACTCCAAGTAGGAGTACGCGAAGGCTCTGAAGAAACAATTGCCATCGGGGCGGGTGCGGCGAATGAACTTGTACTTTTTGGACAGATCCTGGATCTTGGCGGTGAAGACCTCGTCGCCGCTGTACTCCGCATACAAGCAGGTGAGTGGCAACTGATCGCTGACCAACGGAGTCGTGTCGCTGATCTGCAATTATTGAAATTCTGCATTATTCCTCGGTTCATTGTCGCTATTGTGTGTAAGTATTTCTGCCGACTCACCTCTTTTTCAATATCCCGTTTCTGTTGAATTATTAACTCGTCGCGATTGCCATCATTTTGGGTAAACGACTCCATGCTTCTGCAAATACTGAACAATTGGGATCGGCGTTTCCTTTCAATTTACAACTTTGTATTCATTTGATGAACTAAAAAGAATTCCTGTTCATCATATGTATGTGTAAGCGCATCGAATATCACACACACATGCTTAGAAGCGAATCTCACGGACACACTGATGCTTCCGATTTTATCGCACAGCTATCGTTATCGGGTTTCAATTCCAGTTATTCCTTCGAGTGGTTCGTGAATAAAAACAAATAAATAAATTTAAAAACTATGGGAATATCTATATATATATATATATATATATATGTCTCGTAAAAAAGTATTTTCAAAATTGTATATAATATCGCTCTTAATAATCACGTTAAAGTTTAGGTATTATTAAGATTGTTTTATATCTGATATATCCATATGTAGATCATTTTGTATTTTTATTTAATTTAAATGTGTACTCTTTGAACCTGTTTCCCGCTGTGTAAAACGTAAGCTGGGAACTTCAATTGGAGCCAGCTTTTAAAGCTTCTCGTCAGAAGATAATCGGCTCAGACTTAAGATTGAATCAGAAATCAAATCAGTTGAGTGCTTTCTGCATTGCTTAGCGAACGTTCCGCTACTTTATTAAATTAAGTAAGTCTTACCAATAGAGTAAAATTTATACTACATAAAAATCAACTTACCTTAACTTAATGAAAATGTGTAATTCGGTTAAGTGGATATCTGGGTTCAATCTTTTCATGTCCTGTAACATCTGATAAACGTTTACATGTATAAATATGTATATATACTTATTATGTATATACATGTGTATATACTTATTATTTTAATCAATCTAAAAGATGTTAAAGTTCATTGAATACAGTGTAGAAAACACTAGCCGTAGTTTTATGAGCACAAATCAGAGCCAGTATACTGTATATATGTATATATATATAAATGTTATAATGCTACGTTTACTCGAAACTAAAACCAGTTATTTCCCTTTTTATTTGCAAGGAACTCATTGTGGGCATTAAAGGTCGGGGTAATGGTGGGATTGGTCGTGAACCTTTTGTGTGTAAATACAAATTAATTAGTGTGTTTATAACTTATTATTAGTGTGCAATTGTCTACCTGCATAAAACGGCTAAATTTCTATTGAAAATAAATTATTCTTGTTGTGTTTGAAATTATTTAAGTTCTCTGCTTTTATGGGCATCGAAAATTGAATCGCCACAATACATCAGCATTTATGTATATGCCCGTAAATACAGGGATTTCTTATCGCCAAAAGTCATATTTAAACAAAAAGAGGCAAATGAGGCAATCTAAAAGGAACAATAAGTATATATTTGCTCCAAATTTTAGTATTCATCATTTAAAATACGCTCAAAAATAAAAGCGAAGCCTAACTGATAAGACAATACATTTTACAGTTATTTAGGTTAATTGTACGCCGCATAAAAAATTAAAGTAATTTGCATGAGCATCTCTCTTTCATTTAAATGTGTCATTCTGTTTGGGGGATTTACATTTGCCACTTTTCTGTTTAAGTGCGATATTCCAGCAATAACAACCGTCGTTATATCACCAATACTCGAGCTTTACTCACTTTGCTTACATTGTCTTCATTTTTTTCGAACAAATAAGCTTATTGACCTTAATAATGTTTACTTAAAAGAGTAACTAAAGAGTAAAATGAAACATATTTACGTTTGCTTTCCAGGAATATGATATTACTAAATTGCATAGTAATATGCCTGTGCATACTTTCGTGTGGAGCGCAGGACTCTTCCTTGGACAAATTGATATCGGACATCTTCAAAACAGACGAATCACCCACAGTATCATCCACTCCCATTCCCACTCCCGTAGTGAACCCTAAGGATTCGTCCGGTAACTCAGGATCCGAAAGCGGAGGATCCGAGAGCAGAGGATCCGGATCGGCTCAGTATCAGTCCTGTGGCGATCAAAAAGAGTGTGTTCCCCGGTGGTTGTGTGCGAATGACACCATTAACACCAGTGGCGATGGTATCATAGATATTCGAATTGATACGGGCTCGCAATGCAAAAACTACTTGGATCTGTGCTGTGATCTACCCAACAAGGTAACACGTACCTACATATAAGAAATCTCCGATTACTTCAATTGAACTTTTCTTTTTCTATTTTTACAGAGAAAAGACCCAATTTTCGAGTTTAAACCTGATCATCCCGAAGGCTGCGGATACCAGAATCCCAACGGTGTTGGCTTTAAAATCACAGGAGCAGTCAACCAGGAGGCCGAGTTCGGCGAATTCCCCTGGATGCTGGCTATTCTTCGCGAAGAAGGCAACCTCAACCTGTACGAATGTGGAGGAGCTCTGATAGCTCCCAATGTTGTTTTGACCGCGGCTCATTGCGTTCACAACAAACAGCCAAGTAGCATAGTTGGTAAGTATATTTAGTATTCACTTATGAGTTATTTAAGTTTAATTGTAAACGGACGATTTTAGTGAGAGCTGGCGAATGGGATACGCAAACACAGACTGAGATCAGAAGGCACGAGGACCGATATGTCAAGGAAATCATCTACCATGAGCAGTTCAACAAGGGATCCCTCTTTAACGATGTGGCTGTCATGCTTTTGGAAGGTCCATTTACCCTCCAGGAGAATATCCAGACCGTTTGCTTGCCCAGCGTGGGTGATACATTCGATTACGATCGTTGCTTTGCCACCGGCTGGGGCAAGAACAAGTTCGGCAAGGATGGGGAATACCAGGTTATCCTGAAGAAGGTGGACATGCCTGTGGTGCCTGAACAGCAGTGCCAGACGAACCTGCGCGAAACTCGCCTCGGCAGGCACTTCATTTTGCACGACAGCTTCATTTGCGCCGGCGGTGAAAAAGATAAGGATACCTGCAAGGGCGATGGCGGCTCCCCACTGGTGTGTCCAATCGCGGGCCAGAAGAACCGCTTCAAGTCAGCCGGCATTGTGGCGTGGGGAATCGGATGCGGAGAGGAGAACATTCCCGGAGTGTACGCCAGCGTGGCCAAACTTCGTCCTTGGATCGACTCCAAGTTGAAGATTTGGAGTATTGACCCCAGGCATTATACACCCTAAGAGCAAACTGTGTCAATTTAAAATGAATTTTTAAAAAGCGGGTTTTTAACCACATACTGCACAATGCTCGTATTTAATATATGCCTTATATGTTTATACTTAAACTTATATTTCGCTTTTTATTTGAACTTTACTGTTACTGGAAATATTTTCTTGAAACAGTGGAAAAGGAAAAGGCTTACAAAAATATACCTGAGTTGGCAGCACAGTTGAACAACCCCATTACGTGTTAATGATAATTTCATTTCCAGCACTTGGTCACACTGGCGCCTGTGCATGGAATAAGAACAAAAAGATTAGATTCGTCTAAGCCAACATTTTTGCTTTGAATAGAATATCTGCGTAGACATGGATAACTTCGGTCTTGGAGGAGTAGAGCTAAGCAAGGGGCAGATATTTCAGGTACTGGTTCGCCTGTCTGTGGCCTCGCTGATCACATACTACTCGGTGAAATGGATGATGAACCAGATGGACCCAAATAGTAAAATCAAGAAAAAAGCCAAAATTCTGGCCGAGGAGCAGTTGAAGAGGTTTCTATTAGACTTATATATTTTTATTATACATTATAAACCAATTTCTTGACATACAGGCTGGCCGAGAAGGAGGGCTTTAAGCTAAACGCGCAAGAATTTAGCGACTACGAACTTATGATTGCGTCACATCTTGTTGTTCCTGCCGACATAACAGTTAGTTGGTCCGATATCGCCGGTCTAGATGCAGTCATACAGGAGCTCCGGGAATCAGTGGTGCTGCCGGTTCAGCACAAGGAGCTCTTCAAGCATTCGAAACTGTGGCAGGCGCCCAAAGGCATCCTGCTCCATGGGCCACCGGGCTGTGGAAAGACGCTGATAGCGAAGGCGACGGCAAAGGAGGCGGGAATGCGCTTTATCAACTTGGACGTCGCCGTTCTCACCGATAAGTGGTACGGGGAATCCCAAAAATTGACTTCCGCCGTCTTCTCGCTTGCATCGAGAATTGAGCCATGCATTATTTTTATTGACGAAATTGACTCATTCCTGCGATCGCGAAACTTGAACGACCACGAGGCTACCGCCATGATGAAAACACAGTTCATGATGCTGTGGGACGGCCTCAGCACGAACACTAACTCGACAGTGATTGTGATGGGAGCCACGAACAGACCGCAGGATCTGGACAAGGCTATTGTGCGCCGCATGCCAGCCCAATTTCACATTGGCCTACCTTCCGAGACTCAACGAAAAGACATCCTCAAGTTGATCCTGCAATCGGAGGAGATAAGTCGAGATGTCGACTTCAATCGCTTGTCCAAGCTCACAAATGGCTTCTCGGGCTCAGACCTTCGGGAAATGTGCCGAAATGCTTCAGTTTACAGGATGAGGCAGCTCATCACTTCCAGTGACCCATCTGCTGCAGCGCTTGATCGTAATAACGTATGCATCACCATGGACGATTTGCTAGGCTCGCACTTAAAAATTAAGGAATCAAAGATGCACACGGGAAGCCTATTCTTAGAGAATAGGATCGAGTTAGACTAAGCACACCATTGTTAATTCAAGCCTACTATATATCCAACTTAAATTTGTACAATAAACTTTTTAATTGTCTTTCGACAGGAGCTCTCGTTGAGAAAGGTTGCGTTAATTAACCCTGTTCTGTGATCAAAAATGGGTATTGGGTATCCGGAAAATACAGTTTTTGTAATCTTGAAAACTGAAGCGGATACTGCAGGAAATTACACAATCCATAGCATTTCCGTAAAATGGAGCTCATTGCACTTTAATTATTACATTTACGAGCTTCTTTGAAATATTCACCTAGAGAAATTTTAAACATTTACAAAGATAATGCACTTGTACTTTTTCAAACACACACACATAACTTGCATCACGCGACCGCGTGCTTTCAATCGTAAAAAATATATGTAAACTTGTGTAGTTTTCTTCTCTTTAAATAAGTTAGTTTATTTCTGACGGTGTTTCAATCGTTAAACTAGGCATAAACTATTACTTAAAAACTAAATACATCTATAATAACCACTTAAGAATGTCTTGTAATCCAGAAAAATTTACATAAAAGAATGTCAAAACTAAAAATTTGTATATCAAATTTAAAATAAATAATTATACACATAAATTTTGAACAATAAAAAATTTAAAAATTAGTTCTTGAAGTTTTTAGATATTTTCTATATTACAAAAATTGTAGAGTGTACAAACTTCAATCTAAGAAATTACCTTCTGCACATATTAATTATGTTTCGTGCTCATATAAATACTTTTTTGGATTGGCGAATATCATTTCTGTTGAAGGCGTTGATTAAAGCACATCAAAGCTAAGCGGGCTTTATACTTTTCAAAAATGAACGCAATGGTAAGTTATATTTCAAATTTGTTTCATGAAATTCGTTTTGTTATGCATCACACGCATCCTTTCTGTTTCAGTTAACTTTGATTCCTGGATACCTATTTATACCCCTAATAATTCTTGGAAGTGCAGCACGCAGTGATTCCTATGCTGTGAATAAAACCAGTAGTCTCGAAAGTGCTGAGTGGAGCTATCCTGAATATGGAAAAGCATCTATTCATAGTGCCGGAAGAAGGCCGGAAAAGCTGGCTCTACAACATTACAATCGGGAGACCGAACGCAATGTGACTTTGAAACGCGGTGTGAAAAACTATCAAAAGCAAGGCGATAAATTAACTAGACATAAAATAAAATATAAGCCATCTGGTGCTCGAAGAAAAAATGTGAATCCCCATTATGCGGATGACAGTACGGAAAGTAGGCATTATCATACTTTTGAAGAGATCCACGAACATATCGATGAAGATGATGGACAATACCAGGCTTCCGAACAAGTCGGAACCCAAGCGATCCTGCACGAACATGTCGAACAGTCGAGCAAGAAGGATGCGAAGCGGATGAAGGTCAAAATCAAGCACCACCATCACCATCATCATCACAACCACATAAAGGAGCTGATCAAAACGGTGCCACAACCGTATCCCGTGGAAAAGGTTGTTCATGTGCCCATAGAGAAAATTGTCGAAAAGATCGTACATGTACCCAAGCTTGTGAATGTTACGGTTGAGAAAATAGTGCACGTTCCGATCGAAAAGATAGTGGAAAAGGTGATACACATTCCGAAGCCCGTCCAAGTTCCCAAACCATATGTGGTCGAAAAAATCATTGAGAAAATAGTCCACGTCCCAAAACCGTATCCTGTTCTCCGGACTGTCCCGTATCCAGTCGAAATAAAGGTGCCAGTTCACCTCGAAAAGAAGGTACCAGTGCCCTATAAGGTCGAGGTAGAACGAAAGGTTCCCATTTACATTCGCTCCAGCGAGCCATATAAATTCGAGTCATCTTCATCCTATGAAAGCTATCCCCGCGGTGAGGAGTTCAAATTCAACATTGAAATGGATCATCCACCGCCTAGAGAACACGAACCTTCCAGCCTACCGTCCTCCAACTACTATAACAGGATATACAAATCTAGGGAACTGGACCATCCTCCGAGGATAGAGGACTATCAAAGTACAGTGCCCACGCAGTTAAAGCAAGATTACGCAACGAAAAGTACACCCGATCAGCAGTTTAAACACGAATACGTGACGAAAAGTAATATTGATCCTCAGTTTAAGCACGATTACATAACGAAAAGTAGTTTTGAATCGCAATATAACCAGGAATACGTACCCAAAACTAGTATTGAATCGACTTCTCCTGGACGGGATGGGGTTTCCTTGAAACTCGTCGGCCCCCCTACTCCTTTCAATATCACGGGAAAGGATTTGGAGACTGCCAACTCCGCTCCAGACTTTGTTAATAGCTCCAACGTAGACCTTAGTCCACAGGAATCGGCTAATGCCTATCGTGGTATCCCATTCTCCATACCATTTCAGTTTGTACAACTCCAACCAATGGCTTTCCAAAGTCCTATACATGTGGAACTACCAGTTCAATCCGCTTCATCAGAAGGTGCTCAAAAGTGATTATCTAATCAAATGCTTAGCCTAAGTAATCCTATCTAATAAAATTATCATATACTGCTAGACTTTTACAAAAATGTTTCCCTACAATAATACAAAGAACTTCTACAAAATAAATCGTAAAACGTTTAATGACATTTAATTACCCTTCAATAAGATAAAATATATATTAGAATATATTAAAAACGTTTGCTTTGATTGGAAAAATTATGTGTATTTGATATCCAAATTTACCAAATTTCATCTAAGCAAGTAACTAATCGTAATATATTGATACATATTCTAAAGAAAAATACAATTTATATGAATTAGTTCATTTTAAAATTTATTCCGATTGTGTAAATTTTTTGAAAGGAATACCACCAGTAATTGTCAATTGCGGTAAAATCGATAACGATAACCAGAATTCATTCCAATCGTATCCAAAAGAGTCAAATTTTATAAATACTAAACAAAAATCAAGGATATAAACATCTTTTTTTAATTTGTTTGTTCACTTTATGTATTTTGTATTGAAATTCAAATCGGGTTTTACTAAAAAATGAATTGGTCATTTGGTCTTTCAGTCGGAGCAATATTACTAAACCGAGGCAGCGACGATTGTTGTGTGTCATTGTTTTTATCAAATAGGAAAAGTGGCTAACGAATTGTGATTGTTATGCATGTATTTCATGTTACTTGTTCTGTGCAGTCCTCCTTAGCAAAGAAATATTTAATGCGATATTGCGATAAGTGTAAAAACATTGAACTGCTGCTACAGCAACCTGATGTCTCTTACATACATATTTACGTACATATGTATGTAAGCAACTGCAAACGAAAACAGTTACATCCAGAGTCCGTTACGTTACAAATCATCGCTTTAACAGTTTTGACGTATAGTCGAGTACTCTCTTGTCAATTATATATATTCTTTCTTAAAAATTCCATTTATGGCCAATTCATTTTTTATACCCTCTTTTATTTTATTACTAATTAATACGTTATTGCAGCCTTAGTTGGAAATAATGAATTCCAAATCCGATTATGAAGCAGAAAAAGATAAAAAGCTGACCATTACAAATAGATTCGGGGATTCCCTGGAAAACTATGAACTATCCAACGAGAGTGAGCACAAGACCCGTGTTTACCCCA